ATGGTAATGGTTATCAATTAATGTCAGTCATCCAAAACACTAATTCATACATTTTATACTACACTCTTTCATCTAGTATTTCATTTGCTGATTTGCGAATATTTGATGAACCTACATAATTACTTCCCTCTTTTGAAAAATACATAACAGCCTATAGACAGTTAAACATTATAATAAAACGTACCTTACGTAAGAACTTATCGTGTGACAATCAGAGTTATTACCAAAACATAAGAATACAAGAACAAACCTGCTAATTTTATAATTTACTCGCATTTCATAAGGATGTATCACACTATACAGCTATTGAGAGTTCTGCTTCTGGATAATAGCCATTGCTAAATCTGGCTTTAATTTGCATTAGGGTCAATATCGCTGACCACTGCTCAAAAACCAAATAAAATACTGGAGGCAGGATGAAATTCGTCAGCTCTGATAGCCTTTGCATTTCTCGGGAAATGGTCAGTAGACGGTATATGAGTCAACTCAAAGATGGATGATTCGATCTTGACGACTCTGCCAATAAATGCATAATTGATTAATTCATTGATTCATTCAATTGCTCATTCATTCGTTCGTTCGTTCATTCTTTCGTTATCATTCATTCAGTCAGCAAGATTGTTAAGTTGCTAGTTCAGTCAATCTTGCTTTCGTTCATTAATTCTTCAATTCATCCATTCATTCTTCATGTCAGTCTGCAGGGACGGATCCAGACTGTTGTCCAAAAAGGGCGGGGATAAAAGTGGGGCCGACCGAGATAACACTACCCCTAGGGGGCCGGGGCATTTGTTTTTCTTCCTTTTTTTTATATTTTTTACCTTGTAAAAAGGGGCCGGTTCAGCTAGCTCCCCTGACTTTATGCGCTAGCTCCCCACCCCCTTATACCAGCTTCCCCATAGCCATCCCTCTTTGATAACGCCATAGTTATAAAAGATGATGGTCGACCTGTTCAATGGGTAGGGGATACAAAAGTACATTGACAACGTGTTTATGTAATTAAGGTACTGTAATGATAGTGTAATCATTTGGTTTTATAGTTAGTTGATGCATGTGGCGAGAACATTGAATAGGGACCTGCAGTATACACACTTTAGAAAAATAAGACTATATACTACCCAGTCTAAAGACATCAATATCAATCCAAATAAAGTAGGCCTAACATTAATAAGTGTATATCAACAGAAGATTTATGCTTTTATTTTTTTGTCATGGAAATAACAAAAAACCTCGAGAACATAAGTGTTGTTATTATTATACATTCTCTTTCGACGTCGAATTCTCAAAACGTCCGCTATTCATTTAATTCATCAAGGGATACGCTCTTTAGCATTGACAACTGTCATTAGCAACGTCATTTGACTGAAATACACTGAGTGACAGCATATTTTACACAGTGATTAATAATATGCAATCGTATGTCTTCACCTTAACAATCATTAGGAATGTTATTGATTGGCAGAGCTTTTCTCAGTTAAGTCCTTGATATTGATTACATTTTTTTCTTTCTGAGCTTTACTAACCTTATCAGCCAAAATGTGTTCGAACTTTTCATCGGATAATTGAGATTGTTTTTTCGTCAGCAACTAAATGTTTCCATTGCAACTAATATTGTTAAATGGAAACACTTTATATTGCGCTCAATCATCCTTTTAAAAAATTAAGCGTGCTGTAGTAGTACGCTTGGGGGGAGATTTGGAATATAGATTTAAACCATCTTCTGCGGACGTACAAGATGGATTCTTTTAATTGTATTTATATATCTGTCTTCCGATAAGTACAGGCCTCTCTGATGTGAGGATCATCGTACTTGTAGAAGTGTGGACTTGCTCTTACAGTAACTTACTTCTCCCCTAAAGGGTCCCTTCGTTGAGGTACAATACAAGGTAAATTTACCGGTACCAGCTACTCTCGTCTGTCCACAACAGACGATTTGTCTGGATTTGAAGTAGCAAATATCCACCTACGGTTAGGCCTACATAGGCTATCATGTCAATCTATTATAGGTCTTTAAAATGTTCTTGGCGTACCAGCTATAACTTGAATTTGCCATTATTTTGGAGGTGTATTACGAAATGCTGTCGAAACAAATATATGCGTTCCTATTGCCTAAATATATAACCATGAAGGTATAACATTATTTATTTTATTTGTATCTATTATTTTATACCTCCATGATATAATCTAGTATAAGCATCTGTAATACGTGATCTCTATGTTCTGTTGATGTGATGAAAAAAACTGGAAAATGATAATCCGAAGTCTATCAATGGTTTATGATGATGGATAAATTCATCCACGAAGTTATGTAAACAAGATGATATTTTAATTTTTTTTTTCGTGAATAGGTAGGGAATATTATATATCGAAACGTGATATCACAGTGGCCAGTAGTGTTTATGTTCCTGTATTCATACACACATGTCATATACTTCGCGACGCCGCAAAATAACTATACCTCATCAAGATTGAGATCCAATCTTTATCTGAAAATGTGTCTCTTGAGAATTATCTAAAAATAGCATAATGACTTGCAGCGTAATTAGACTGTTTGATAGTGGTCTGGAAAATAATGTAGTGCGCACCTGTACTGCGCAAGGTTATCGACATTCGCTTTATACACAGGTCTATAAAGGCCGTTTTCCACTATACGAACATATTCGTGCGAATCGAAGTTGTTTGCTTATACGCATGCACAGTTTAATTTTCAGCACGAGATTCTCAACTACGCATGCGTATGAATAAAAATTTTCGATTGTTGGGAAACGGCCTTAAAGCCTGTTTTCCACTTGTGAATTTATTCGCGCGAGTCGAAAACGTCTGTTCATGCGCATACACATTCACATTTCTATTGGAGTTTTCGCTTCAGCGAAATCGGTAGTTCGAGCAGTTTCTACTTTTTGCGAAGCGAAAAAAGTGCCCAACCAATCAGAGGTCAGGAACCGAACCGACGTCTTCGATTCGCGCAAATAAATTCGCCTAGTGGAAAACAGGCTTAATGACGAGGAGAACTTAACGTTTTCGCATGCGCAGATGACTATTAGTGACGTCATTACGTCAGTGGTGGCGCCAAGATTCGACCGATAGGGGGTCCGAAGTCCCTGACGGGGGAGGTCCCCGGCTAAAATAAGGTGGGCGTGGTCGAACGTCGCTCAAAATATCTCGAAAGTGTTCCAGGGGGAGCAGCTTCCGAAAAATATGACAGTTTAGGGGTTTCAAAGGCTTATTGAATTGATTATTGAGTCTACTAATATGTAGAAAATACATATACATTTTTTTCTCCCCGACGAATTGGGTTTTTTTTCGACTTGGGGCCCCGGCCCCGCTGGCGCCACCCCTACCTACCCTACGAACACCTCTGACTTCAGAGCTAATTTATGTTTATATTTCATAATGCTGTGAACTGTTTCGAAATGCCGGTTGCAGTGTCAAAAGTCATAGGTAAGTTGAACATCTCGTCTGAAATGAACTCTCTTGAGAGAGTGTAGTTACAAAACTAATATTAGACGCCGCGCAGATAAGAAAGTATATACAGTATTTGTATCTAGATCACGTCATACAGTATACTGTTCGGGCGCCGTGGCAAGATACGTTTACGATCAAAGGTTAAAGTTTAAAGATATTTCTTATAAATATATTTATTTTGATATTAAAGGTATTGTTTGTAAATACATATATGTTACTTTGTATTTGGTTTGTTAATTGTAACTATATCATCCTCATGTTCGTTGTCCTCATCGTTGTAATATTAATAATAATAATAATAATATAATATTGACGATGATGTTATGATGATGACGACGACGACGACGATGATGATGATGGCGGTGAAAATGAGGATGAATAATGATAGGTCTAATTGTAGTTTACTATATTATCAAGTGTAGGCCTATTATTATATTAAAATTTAAAATTATTAGTCAATATAATTATATTTGTATCATTATCATTATTATTATCATTATGATTATAATTACTATCATTATTAGTATTTTATTTTTATTATTTTTTTAACTATTTTCTTTACTTATAGTTTAAATTTGATGCCTTCTGTCCTTGAGTGCTTCAATTTTTGTAATCCTTCAGTTATTTTATATTATATTTTTGTTATTTTATTGTACGAATGTGTAATAAATGATAAACAATAAAATGTCATAATAGCAATATTCGTTATATTCTGGCTTTGAATTTCAATATCACAGAGTTTAATCTAATAGTGAAATAAATCAAACAGGACATCTAACATGCAATAATCTGGATACGAATAGTAGCCACATGACCTTAGAAATTTAAAAAGTGAATATTTGCATTATTTTATACATTGCAGAAATTATATTTTCATGAGTATTTGAAAATCAGAAGAATTTTAATGCCGATTTTATCTGATACGATATTGATTTTATACTGCACGGCAGGCTATTTATGTTTTTTTAAACACTAATTTTCTAACTTAAAATTGAGTATATGGAGCTTCTTTAATGGTACCGGTAATAGTTTTCTCTCCTCAATCAATCAATCAGTCAATAAAAACCAATCAACAAATCAGTCAATCAATAAATCAATCAACCATTCAATCAATATATCAATCAACCATTCCATTAATTAATTAATTATTGATAATTATAAAGTGCCATTAGCTTTACTTTTACTTCATGGTTTCTTGCTTTTTGTATCGCTCCTGTTCTCTGTGGTTTATAATTCTTTACTGATTTTGGATCGATACAAAAAATGAAGAAACTTTTAGCTTGATAGATGTGTGGCCACATGTGTGGCCTCGGGCGACCCTGCTAAATATTACATAAACTAGACCACCGCCTTTGTAGCAATTGCTTCTCCACGAGAAAGCAATGTGGCAGATATAATGAATCGCTGCCATGTTTGTTTTATGAACGGTATGATATGAAATCCGTTGTCATTCCATTCCTAACCTTTATGACATTCGAGATATTTAATCGACTGTCCCCGTGAAAACTCATCCTCTTTATATTTTTCATTCTTCTCAGCTGTCGCAAGCCATTTCGAGTCAGAGACGACATGCGTACGACACATATCCCGTCGACAAGTGGTAAGAAGACACAGAAATCGAAAAGCGAGACGTTGACGCATTAGGCAAAAGAAGCAACCCAGATAATTACTGAGTCAACAACACGAATCCGTTGTTATTCCCACACTCTCCATTATGCAGCAGAGACCATGGAAATCCAATCGAAGAGCTAAGTATGTTTTCAATTTGCGTGTGGATTAAATTGGAGAATACTTTTGATTTTCAAACATGTTCAAAAAGTTGACGGAGAGTAAAACGAATGCGGCCGCAACCATGCCGGCGAAGTTACCGTCCGTTTCTAGTAGCGCGGTTCGGTTCAAGTTGGATACGGGTACCTATGAAACGGAGCGCGTACTTGGTGAAGGTACCTTTGGTCGAGTTGAATTGGTAACAGAAAAAGAAAGCGGTACAAAGTTAGCGTTGAAATATATTTTAAAATCTAAAACAAATTTTAAAGACTTTCAGCGGGAGTTTCGAATGAGTTATTTTCTATGTGGTCATGCACACGTAGTTTGTACTTTTGAAGCTGCCTTCGAGACTCCAGAAGCGTACGTTTTTGCTCAGGAATACGCGCCAGTCGGAGATCTCTTTGACGCCATACCGCCTCATAAAGGTCTTTTGGAAAGCAGGGCGAAATCTTGTCTACCACAAATTGCTTCGGCTATTTCATTTCTTCACGGGCAAAACATGGTGCATCGTGATATCAAACCAGAGAATGTTCTTGTGTTTGATGAGTCGTTAACAATGGTGAAATTAACTGATTTTGGAATGACTAGAAAAAAGGGTTCTCACGTCAGAAAGACAGCTCATAGTATTCCCTATACACCACCAGAAATATGCAAGGCTGTAAAACACGAGGGTTATTCGGTTGAGTTGGGCCAGGATGTCTGGTCATTTGCAGTGCTAGTTTTTTGTACTCTGACTGGTAGCTTTCCTTGGGAGAAAGCTGACCAAACCGATCAATATTTTTCTGATTTTTCTAAATGGGTGAAGAGACGGTCGCACGTTCTGCCACAAGACTGGAGAATGTTCACCCCGAGGTTGTTGAAGTTCTACCGTAAAGCTTTAGATTTGAAGACATCACGAAGGTGTGCCATTACAGACTTCTTCAAGTATGTGGAGGATGATTGGATAACGCCGAGCAAACGAAATCGATCAACAGACGAGGACGCTGGAAATCGCGAAGCCATGGAAGACCTACGGCGTAAATTGCGATCTCATGGTGTGGTGACGGAAACAAATAAAGAAAACAGAAAACAAAGGACTATAGATTGGGTCGAACAGTGTCAAGTGACGTCACCAGTAACCTCCGATGAATCAAAAAACAGCAATGTTCTAAAGGATTCTGATGAAAAAAATACAAATGACGTTGAAAATGGCATTGATTAACTAGGCCTACTATTAAGAGTTTGTACTGAACAAGCTTGGGATGACAATAGATAATACAGGCCCGTAGCGTGGGTGGCGGGGGGTGTTAAGGGGGTTACGACGAACAGCCCAAAAACTGGAGAAGGTCCTCATTAAAAAACGAAAACTTGATATTCGTAGATATATTTACAATGTTCTCCAGAGTATCGGAGATCATACAAGCCAAAGGGTCCACTTTCCACTGAAACGAACCTCCCGCATATAAGTCACGCTACGGGTCTGTAATATTAAAGTAGGCAGATAAATGATCGTCTTTCAAACATGGATGACTTTTTAAGTGTGAAAATGTAAAACAAAGGATAGAGTTGAGTTGTAAACCAATAATTTTTTTAAAGTCAATTAAAATAGGAACAAATAATAATAATATAGAGAAATTTTGAAATGTTCTTTAATAGAGATTTTGTACAAAATGAATATCAAAATGAAGTACTGTATTGTATATAAAGAGTATATGATATGACGCAGGACTACGTAAGGACTTATTAGTTTTCTTAGCGAAATCTTATCGCTCACGTGAATGAATTTGATATAGGCCTAGGTCTACAGTACGAACAAAATGATTGCTGGATTATTATGAAAAGAATCGTCTTCGAGTTAATAATTTTGTTTTATTTAAGAACAAAGATAATAAGTGCTCAGAAAATATGATTACGACCATTACGTTATTTCGACCAGGTTTGTATCAACCCTGCATCCACCAGTCGCGTGATTTTTCTTCGCCTGTCTTCACTTGAGGTTAGCATCTTAGGATGCACCCGACATTTCCCAACATAATTTGCCATCTGGGCTTTAGGGCCTACACATTGCTTGTTGACGTTGACGAATTTTTGTAAACGATACAAGTAGTTCTCTAACATTAAAAGACTTAATAAAGTATCTTATAGGCCTATACTTGATTTACAACGCCACGTTGATTATTAATATAATGTTACGTCGATTCGACGCGTTACGTTGATTGCCACGTTACGCTGGCTACCACATTGCGTTGAATATATCTATTATTACATTACGTTGAATTTCAAGTTGGACTGTAGTCTATTTCTCGTTGTTATTTTACGATTAAAGTTATGCTCATACAGGAATAGTGTTCTTATATAACCAACGTGGTTTTCAATTCGATGAGGATCAGTAGGGGCCTATTTATTAAATTATACTACTAATGTCGCATTTATGTTAATTTTGATTTTTATTCAAATAAACCTTCACTTAATAATATGGAAGTGGTTTAACGCAGTGGAATCCTTAAGTTCGGAGTTCAATCGTTCGCTGTGCCCTTGGGCAAAGCATACTTTACAGCACGATAGCGCAATTCGAGCGCTATTTATCTGCATTGCTTCTCTCCAGGATTATAAATTGGTGCATGGTGGGGTTGACTGTTCCTGCGTTCCAGCAGCAACATTAAGCATGAGGACTCACTGACCTGGCAAAATGGCGCTTTGTATTTGAAAATAATTAAATAAATAGATAAAAATATTAGTAGTTGATCAACACTTTCATGAGATAACATCTGTTCACAATGATATTGTTTGCGAATTGATCATCATACTCTGAATCTAGGGTTTCATATTCCAATAAATACGGTGGACCATATGGCGGCAAATGTAATTATAATTACATTGCATGTCAGTGATGAAGATACGAATATCTGTATTACTTCTCATACTTCCTATTCCAAAATAAAAGGCTTAAAAGCCAGGGCCCCGTCGGGGAGAGTTTCCCCCCCCCCCCCCCCCCTCCCTTCGGAGAGAAAAATCACAATTGTCCTAGATAAAAAAAAAATTGTAGGCCTATGTATTTTCTACATATTAGTAGACTCTAAAATCGATTAAATAAGCCTTTGAAACCCCTAAATTGTCAAAATTTGTGGGGTCTTCGCCCCCTGGACCACTTTCAAAATATTTTAATCGAAGCTCGACCACGCCCACTTTGCTATCGTCTGGGAAATCTGGCCCCTCGTCGGGAGAATCGGCCCCTCTACCGGGGACCTCGACCCCCCCCCCGGGCAAATCCTAACGCCACCCCTGTTAAAAACATTAAAGTTAAACGCATTATGTAATGGTTGACGTTTATTTTATACCTTCATTATTTGACCTGGATATGCAGCGGTCATCCATTTGTGATGAACAGTGTCTTTGGGCTGGTGACAATCAATATAACTTAATCAAATGGTAATTTCATGAAGACAGATTGGATATCGGTATGCTTTGTTATTATTTCCTTTAGTCTTGAGATTGGAATATAATAACGAGTTTGCAATATCGCAACATTAAAATGCCTGCGAGGGTGTAAGGTGACGAGTAATTGAATTGGGTCATGTTAGCTTAAGTCATTATCGTGCGTGTTTGTATGCATAGGCCAACCGCGTAGCATGAATATGACAAATGTAGGCTACCTCATTTCACTACATAAATGAATTCGCCTCACTCCCTTTGTAAGTAAAGTACCACATTTAAACCTCTCCATGACGACTGTTTTCAAAGAGCTTAGGCCTAAAGTAATCGAAGATATGAGTTGCCATTTAATTTAAATCTTTGGCGGCATATCAAAAACATCATTCTATTACAAAATAATTCTATGTTATACTATTAATACCTTTATAATGCCTTTGTGATCTCATTGTAACCTTTTCTAATACGTATTATAATCACAAAGGCGGTTTACAACGATTAATAGCCGGTTCAGTACAGCAAAAATGTCATAAACACCGCAAATGTCGTAGAGTTCTCGAATCGATTTCTCAATTAATTCACGCTATAAATCGAAAGTATGTGTTTAGGACAAGTAATATACATTATCGTAGAAATTCCTTCATATTTGACACCGAAAACAAATTTGATTATTGTAATTGACGCGGTTATATATCTGATACAGAGCATGCATGATTTAAGGACAAATATACTAACATGGACATTGCATTTATCGTAACCATCGAACTAGTTTACTTTCCTCATCTGCCGCTGAAGAATTTGAATACAGGAACGTTATTAAATCTAAAATTTATCTCATACAATGTCATTTTGTATTATGTTATATAATGATGATGATGATGATGGTGATGATGATGATGATGATGATGATGATGTTGATGATGACGAGGATAATGATGACGACTACGATGGTGATAATGATGACGATAATGAGGGAACCATTTACCATAATTATCAATAATTACAATAAATACGATAATAATTGCAATTACACTCTTGGTGTGCAAAATAGTGGAAATACACTATGCAATAATACCGGTATAAAACCTGGTACTAAAAATCATAGAGAGTCAAAATGGAAATGGGTTAAATTAGGCCTTCTTGAACATTCTAATATGTCACATCTACTTGGTTTTGGTTTTTATGTAATGATAAACACAAGCTATGTTACCATAATGCTCCCGGAATGAAATTTTAAAATAACACACCGCAAATAAATATATAGGCTATAGTTTAATGTGAGAAAATGAACGACATGAACTGCCCACGCATTTAGTTTTTAACCAGGTGAAGCTTTAAAATCAGGTTCCGGAGGAAAACGTCTTTTTGAGATGTCGTACAACTGATTCCTCTAATAAGACACAAAAAGGATGTTTACGGAAAAAAACTCGGGAACACTAGGCTACTGAGTTACCGGTATTGGGGGTGTGGGAGGTGGGAAAAAGGTGCTTAATTACGCCCATCTTCCCTAGTTTTTAAATGTAAACAAATCTGTATTATGAACATATCGTTTTTGCTTGCGTACGCCATGATACATAAGTAAAAGACAGAGACTAATCTTAACTTTGGGTATTATTTTAGTAGAAAACCCGATTGTTCTAAATTTACAAAAGGGCATAGGTAGCGCCCTTTACTGGTTTGTATTGAAGTTTTGCTTAACGTATGGGATGCCACAAAAAGTGGGCCATAGTCTAGGACTAGCAGCACCGGAAAGTCCTATACGCGGCAGCCCATTCGAAGCCTGACGCTTACAACAGCCATGGAATGATAGCTACTGCTGAACCATCAGCTGTTTAGAATTAAATAATAGGCATGCGTCCATTTATTTATATAATTCAATCAATCAATTTGATCAACTAATCAGGATATGGCAGCCAACTGTTTGAAGTACAGTCATCCCTAAATCTAAATTATTATTATTATTATTTTTTTTTTTTTTTTTTTTTTTTTTTTTTTTTTTTTTTTTTTTTAATTATTATTATTATTATTATTATTATTATTATTATTATTACTTCATGACGTTAAATACCTAAACACATCTAATGCTAAACACGTCAGGAGCCTAAACAAATTAGGTCGGGCCTAAACACGTTTAGATTTTAAACGTGTCATCAAAGACGGGACAACATTCCGTGGAGCTTTGCGTTTAATCCTCCACGCCGTTTTTACAGTGTATATAAGGCCTTACACTAACAATAGCCCTAAAGCGGTTAACAATATTATATGATAGCATACGGTAACTAGACATATCATTACTCTTTTGCTTACATGTATTTATTTATTTTTAATGAATTGATTGATTTTCTTCTTAATAATAAAACATATTATACACTCGAGCAACGGTCAGCTAATTCAGTTAAGCCTGATGACAATATATACATTAATCAAGAAATACATTTTGATTTATTAAAAAAAGCGAATGCATTCTTATCAATCATAAAGAAACTCATCGAGTGGATTTTTTTTTTTTTTTTTTTTTTTTTTTTTACGATGGAGATGAATTCATTCAAAATTGCTACGAGTGATGACAAAGATGGCAAAAACTGTATACAGTAGTTCCATTTTTCATTCGTGGTCGTCGCAAGAGGGCGATGTTACAAAATATGTTAAGCTGAGAAAATGATTTTCAGATAATGTCTGAAACAAATTTGTGATTTTGTTTGTGTTGTTTGTTGCAGCTTACATTGCTTACAGTTTGTAAATTATATATTTCTGTATTTATAATTAATTTGTATTTCCGTTCTACTAGAGTAGACTACAAGGTAGGTTGTCACCCAGAAGAGAGATATAAGTTAGAGGCGTTCGGAATCAACGAGTCTAGAGCCGGACTAGTATTTAGGGGAGTTATTTGATACTTACTTCATGCCTGATAATTAGGCCCTCTTGTCCAGTGGAAGGGCCCTCAACTTTCTTTAAAGAAATTGCTCTCTTGGTGCAGAAACGAATTCTTTTGGAAGTAAGTTGGCTCCATTCATCTATAATTCTGTTACTGAAGAATTGTTTGGTCACATCTGTTCGCATCTACTCTTTATATAATTTCTTTTGAATGACTCCTTAGAACTTTTTGGAAGACTTGCTTTTAGGTCTCAATGCAATCAGATCGGTCTCTTTTCTTTTCTCCGCCAAAGAACGATTTTTTATATCAGAAGGACAGAGTTTCAAACAATGTTTTTGCACTCTCTCTAAACGGTTAATATCTTGCTTAGTGTAGTATTTTCGGATGAATGATCCATACTCCAAAATAGGATGACTTATTTATTTATGAACAATTGTAATTTTTTTCTTCATTGAAATGGGAAATATCATCTTTGCGTCGTCCCGATTCATTGGGTCGCTTTGTTGCATATCTTTTGGAAATGCACAGCATAGGCCCTATTTCATGTCGTTGCTTATCCATATTCCCAGATCTTTTTGCTCCTTAACTTCCACTAGGTAAGCATGCATATTCAATTGCAGATTGAAGATATTTATTCGATTTGTTGAACAAATGTATTCTTATCATTTACAAAGGTTCATCGTAGGCCTGTAACCAGGGAGAATGAAGGGGCGGTTATGGCTCTGTAAACCGCCTCTTCCCACTCTTCAGCAAAATCTCCCCTACAAAAAAGTATAGACTTTTTTATTACATTAAAATTTGCTTCTCTATGCTAATTGTAATATATTATCTTCATTTCAAACTTTAAGATGTCCTCGGAGCCCAAATCACAAACCCCCCCCCCCTCCACTCCTAAGTACAGATTTTTGGCTACCATGCCTCATTTGCTTCATGGATCATACAATATAATGGATGGCTATTCGTAGAAGTTTTTCAGCTGAATCGTTGTCATTGAGGGTTTCAGATACCAAGCCAGGCATCATTTTCATTTCAGTTCTCACTTCCATTAGTTCATGTTTTTCTTTCTCGGTCATAGTTTGTCCTTTTCATTCTTGATTTTTTTCTTCATTTCATTTTGTTGAGACGACTTGGATAGTAATTTTTAGGCAGCGGCGCCACGAGCTTCCCATGAATGATAGATGCACGCCATATAAATTTCCGATTGATTGATTGATTATGCCAGTGTATTTTCAACAAAACTAGAAACTTGTCGAACAGCACAAAAGGTGAATAACCATAAATACGTCAAATCATATCGTTTAATTAGTAATATACATTAAAAATACCATACAAAATAAGAAAATAATATTAATATTTTTTGTTCCATCGTGATTTGGAACCAAGACTTATACGACATTACCATCAGACGCTCTACTGACTAAACTACTGGGGAACTGCCGGTATACTCCATAGGATGTACCCTATTTTATACCAACTTATTTTCTCGGTGTTGGTTCAATATGGAGTAACGTATTATATCTTAGTAGTGGTGGATGGTCTACATACAAAGGAAATAATAAAAATACGATTTCAAATTTACATTACAAAAAAAATAATAATTGGAAACTAAAGTTGAAATCCTAGCAACAGTCTATCTCTTTAAAGTATGAAGCCAGTTAATCGTAATGGAACTTTCTTGGTTTCTTCTGACCCACAAAATGTAACTTATATAAATATTTCTAAAAGAAGGTTACCATATTCAATAAAGAGATAAACCCACAAGTGATCCAGCGAATCCCAGCTTATTGCACTCTGGAAATTCCTTCATCGATGTCGTCGGAAATCGGAACTGTCGTTTGTAAAAACAATTAGCATATGCAATGACATTTGTATTCTCATTGATAGTTGCACTTTGATTATTGCTATTATCATCAACATTCTTTTGGCTTTTTAGTACTGCTGTTTTTACTTCAGTCTATACTTTCTTCTGAGCAAGGTTATATTGTACCTTACAAGTGATATTTAAAAAAAATAATTTAATTGAATATTTGATCTCGAAAAACAATAACCTATTGATGTTCATGTCTTAATTATATTGTGTCTGTCAGCGATTTTTGTTTAAAATTGAATATTAATATACCACGTTATTCTGTATAGATTTGTAAAAGTGTGTTTTATAATTAGATACTTTCAAAATAAAAACTGGCATTAACAGACGAATTACATAAACCCTAAGATGGTACCAACTTTAGATTCGTTGCATTAGTAAATCCCTGGTATAAGGCGGTATGGTACCCTGGCGCAATACTTATCCCAATTTTCGCCATATTTCAATTTACAGCTCTGTTCATCTCTATAACAACGATTGAGCAATAACCCGCTGATAAACGTTATGTAAAAATATGGTAATATATGATCGAATCCAGTTGCTAGGCAGAAGGCAAGCGACTGGAACAAATCGCCCGTGTAATTCATGTGGCGGGTTACACCCCACCAACCAGATAACAGCAGTTTGCTTCGTCTCTTCTTGCCGTCTCCAGAATAGTAATCACACTCGATGAATTCGGGCTTTTTGCCCCAGATTTTGCAGTTACCATTAGTCCGTCGGAAGAGGTCTTTCTGGTGATTAACGGCCCTGAATATACAGTAGCTTGCTATGCCAAGTACCAGAATACCTATGAATACAGGTTTTGGGAGTTGTGTAGGATGATAGACGAGATAAAAACCCTAGAAATAAAAACAAATATATATATATAAACAATTAAAAAATGTAACTAAGTTTAAAGCAAATTCATTAAATCGGTCCACGTTTCGATTTCAGAAAAAGCTATACATGTCTCCCTCTAATTAAAGACCACTTTTAAGATTAGGGTTCCGATGGTATTTAGCAGCTTTGGTCTCTAATTAGAATAATAAAGATAAAAGAAATTTGTTAATTTGAACCACGGAAATGTGGTCTTAAATTGGAGGGGTCTTAAATTGGAGGGATTAATTAAATGATTTTAATTTTGATTGAGGCCTGGTTCTCCCGAGAGCCCTAGTATCCGGATCGGGAGCTAACCGTTAGCGCTAACCGTAGCACCTGCATGAGAACGCCCGTTCGGTTAGCGCTAACCGTTAGCGGTATCCGGATACCGCTAACGGTTAGCAAGCGCTAACGGTTAGCAAGTTGAGCGCGTTTTTTGTCATCAACCAATCACACGTACGCGTTTACAATTTCCAGTTTCTTATTGGTCAGTGATTCGATCATCATATTATTTTTGGTATCCGGATCGGGATTTTCTCGTATGGACGTACGGCAGCTAACGGTTAGCAGGATCCGGATCCTGCTAACCATTAGCAGCCGTGCGTCAAGTATCTCACCTGTAGTGTGTACGTCCAAGGGAGCCACACAAAGATGCCCCAGCAAAGATAGAAACCAAAGTGATCGTGTTGTATATCAATAGTCTTTAGATACCAAGCTTCATTCCAGAAGAAGTCGATGACGTAGAACCCATGCAGAACGTTTACCAGAATCATAGAGTTCGTCACGTACCCATAATTCTCATATTGCTTCCATGCATACGAAATGTTAATCACTGACCAAGATGCCATCCCTATTCGGCTGTTGACGAACAGTTTGAAGTCGAACATACTCCCGAGCCGTGGATTCAACTCTATGCCCATCAGAAAATCGTACAGAAAGCTACTGGAGAACTTCCGGTCATGGGCATGCGTCGGGAATAGGTGCGCCTTGATCATAACGAATACGCTTACCCCGTAGCCTAGGATGTTAGCCACCCAGAACAACTGCCCCCAATTGTCGACAATTATCGCTGGTGAGAACCACTTAAAGTAAACTCCGTTTAGGATCCACAATACGTTGGTAATTGTCCAAGACTGCAGGCCATTAACATTGTATTTGAGTTCGTGTCCGGCTGGTGTAACAGCTCCGTATCGGATACCGCCTGCGTATCCAGGTAGAATATAGCCGAAAACGTCAGGTATGTAGTAGAAAAACAACTGCCATAAAACAAAAATTAAATTTCAAACTAAGCAATATTAATCGTATAAACAGTAAAATTTTAAAAAAAAAATAAATTTCTTATTTCATTATGTTATTGTTAATAGTTTTCAATTGTTAATTAGAACGATAGATTTACTGGACATTTCAGTAACAAATCTATATACAAAAATCAAGTAAAAAACGACATTACGCCTATTTATCCACAGTCTATGTAAACCCTACCGTAACATTCCTGCTAGAGGATTTTATGGATTTTCATCGTAAATCATATTTATATTTATGAGAAATGAGAAATTCAACATTATATTTACAATTTTTAGCTTATAAAATGTGTTTGTATGTCAACATAATATCAATGGTTGTAAAAGTGACGATTGGAATAGTAATTTTACGTTGATATTCATCATTATCGTCATCATTATCATCATCATCATTAATATTATAATAATAAATAATAATAACAAATCAGAAATATATCAAATCAGAAATTTTTACCGCGAAAATTCAAAGCGTCAAATGCATAATAATCCTGACATCAGCATCATCCTTATCATCATCATCATCATTTTTATTATTTATCTGTTCATGTAATAATTATTTTATTGGGCATTACACGCTGTAAAAATATCAAACTTAGAATAAATCCACACTACAGTACTGCTATAAATATATAACTATCATAACGAAATTGGAAATTGCTGTTACTGTAATACATTTAATATATTTTATAGTGTTTTATTATTTTTAATATTTGGTTTTTCCTACTTGAAGCAATATCCAAGAACCGGCCATCTTGAAAGCTAACCCGTTTAGAGGTGGCGCTCTTTCTAAAAATGCTCGAAACGTCAAACTTCCGTCAAGAAACCGTGCAAGAGGCGCCGTAACAGAACAGTCGAATTCTGGACAAGCCATGTGCAGGTAGAGTGCAATAAATGGAGTAGTAAGTAGAATACATATTACTGTCAGATGCGTCAGTAGATCCACGTTCCTGAAATATAAATAAAGTTATAGCCGTATAAAAAAAAAATTGGTTTAATGGTTCCACATACATACTCGAAAAATGGTTTGCAACACAGAATAAACCGATGTTGTTGGTC